TAAGTGCTATGACAGTGCAATTGAAATAAATAATTGCTTTTGAACTGTTTCCTCAAAAAATCAAGAAAGCTAACTTATTTATTCTGCAACTGAGAAGACACAAGACAGAGAAAGTGAAAATTTCATGTAATTAGTAATAAACATAACTTGATTTGACTAGTTGACACTTCAATGCGAGGAAAGTATGGCAAAGAAACTTAAGACACAAATGGCAGGCTTGACAAGCTAGGCACACAAGGCATGGAGGCATGTGTTAGGTAAAGGAGATGGCTGGAAAATTGATTACAGTAAACAGATTTAACTGAGGCTAAAGAGACTCCGATTTTTAACCAGATGTGGTAGCATAGACTTGTAACAGTTGTGAGGCAGAGATCAGAAGGATCACAGTTCTAAAAGGCAAAAAGTTAGTGAGTCTGATTTCAATCAACAAACTAGGTATGAGGGCATATGATTATAATCCCAGCAACACGGGAGGTGTAAATAGGAGGATCTCGGTCTGAGGTTGACTGGAACAAAACCTGAGACTCTATTCAAAAAGTAACCAAAGCAAAAAAAAAAAAGGCCTGGGGCATGGTTCAAGTGGTAGAGCAACTACCTAACAAGTTCAAGGACCTGAGTCCTTGTTTGTTAATATTGAAGAAGTTGCCAGGGGATTGTGCCTGTAATCCTAGCTACTCAAGAGGCTCAGGTCTGAGGGTTGGGGTTCAAAGCCAGCTGGGGCAGGAAAGACCGTGAGACTCTTATCTCCAATAAACCACCAGAAAACTGTAAGTGGAGCTGTGGCTCAAAATGGTAGAGTGCTAGCCTTGAGGAAAAAGAGCTCAGGGACAACATCCAGGCCCTGAGTTCAAACCCCATGACCAACCCCCCTGTCCCTCCAAAAGGAACAAATTGAAGAAGTTATTTAAGCATGGAAAAGGTAAAGGGGTGAGATGGGTTAAAACAGGCAAAAATTCGTGGTTTCATATGTACTTACAGATACAGACATAGCTATCAATGCATGTGTGCAGTGTGTAGATTGGACTAAGTCAGTGATGACAGCAGTAAGGGCCCTGGGCTATCCTCCATTAAGGAACCCAAGGCTTCTGGGCTGATCCTATTTCTAGGGTAAGAAGAATATAAAATGAATCTGGAACATTACTTGCCAGAGAGTAAGACAGTGATCACCAGGACAAGTCAAAAGAATACAAAGCTATTCTTAAAGATCGCTGGCTGCCTAAACCTGGGACTATTTTAGCACGAGAATAATGAAACAATCAACATACAACCTGTTAAGTAGAATAGCAATTCTAAGTTCATATTGACATAAATAGATAAACATGTAGCAAAGGTAGAGAAGGAATACCCTCCCCCTTGAAGCAAACTAACAACTTGTGACTAGAGAAAGGATGGGAAGAGAAAATTGCCACTGTTGTTGGGAGTAGTTGATTCAATAGAACTTGGCCAAGCCAGGAGCTGGTAGCTCATACCTGTAATCCTAGCTACTTAGAAGACTGAGAATTGAAGATGACAGTTCAAAGCCAGCCAAGGCAGAAAAGTCCATGAGATTCTTATCTCCAGTTAACAGCAGAAAAGCCAGAACTAGAGCTGCTTAAGGGGTAGAGCACTAGTCTTGGACAAAAACAAAACCAAACCAAAACCAAGAGCAAATGGGACAGCTGGAGGCCCTGAGGAAGAGAGGGAAGAAGGTGGAGGAAGGGTAGGGAGAGAGAGAGAGAGAGAGAGAGAGAGAGAGACTTGGATTGGCTAGGTTTATGATGAATTTGATGAGGAAAAAATATTGTGGTACTCTTAGAACATCTCACAAAAAGTATTATTATTCAATTGTGAATGAAACCCAGTGATTTTTTTGGGTGGGGAGCAGAAAATTATTACAGGGAGTAGGGAAACACATGTACCATTCAAGGACAGTCTGGGAGAAGGTATTCCCAACATATAGATCGAAGAATAAGTTCTTTTTTTGGGGAGGGGGGTCCGGTCGTGGGGCCTGAACTCTGGGCCTAGGCGCTGTCCCTCAGCAATTCAGCTCAAGGCTAGCACTCTATCACTTGGGCCACAGCACCACTTCCAGCTTTTTTTCTTTTTGCTTATGTGGTGCTGAGGAATCAAACCCAGGGCCTCAGGCATGCACGGCAAGCGCTCTACCACTGCGCCACCTTCCCAGCCCAAAGAATGAGTTCTTTATATACAAAGAGCTTCTACAAATCATCGTTTGTATTATAGCTCAATTTTTAAAGAGGCAAATGAAGCCAGGCACCTGTGGCTCTTACCTATAATCCTAGTTACTCAGGAGGCTGAGATCTGAGGATCGTGGCTCAAAGCCAGGCTGGACAGGAAATCTAAGAAACTTATTAACCACCAAAAAGCTATAAATGGAGCTGTAGCTCAAGAGGTAGAGCATCTGCCTTGAGGAAAAAAAGCTGAGGGATAGCATCTGGGCTCTGAATTCAAGCCCCAATACCGGAAACAACAATAACAGCAACCTTCAAACAAGAGACTTTATCAGGGAAGTCAGAAAAAGCATCCCAGAGCAACTGCAACTGGCCTGAGCTGAATGAAATATGATAGATGGAAAGAAGGACTAGTAATTTTGTGCCCTCCACCCCCCCAAAAAATCACTGGGTTTCATTCATAATTGAATATATTTTAAAAAAGAGATAAGTCGAGCATGGTAGTGTGTGTCTACTATCAGCACTTAGGAAGCTGAGGCAGGAGAATTACAAGCTTGGGGCTAACCTGGGCTATGTAATGAGATGAAGAAGGAGACAAACATAGAGAAAGGGAGAGGAATGGTGGCGGGAAAAAAGGAGAGAGCAGAGGAAGGGAAAGAAGAGGGAAAGGAGAAGGGTGCAGAAAAGATAAAGCATCTCGGGCAGTGGAGCAGCTGGTGTTAAGACTCTGTGGCAGACAGTAGTATGATGAGTAAGAGAAACCGGGCAGATGGACAAGAAAGAAGGAGAAGGAGAATTGAATGAGATAGGACTGCTCGGGTGCATAGCACCAGCCAAGTGAAGAGTAGATCTTTTCCCCAGTAGCCCAGGTGGGTTGTAAGCCCTGGGAAGAACCAGCACTGTGTTTGTAAGGTGACGCTCTTGTGTGCAGGTCTCTGTATACATAACTCAAATACAACAAGTCAGCTGTCTCCCAAATTCCAGCTATCCATCCCCTACCATTTCAGAAGCCATGGGTTCTATTCTCCATTCTCATGACAAATGCTTTGGCCAGGGCCTCTCCTGTCCCTCCTGCCTCTGTGTCTGCTCCCCAACTCTGTCTCCAGGGGGCGCTGTTTCTGTTCTTCCTCCAGCCTGAGTGGATTTCTGAATGCCCTTCAGTCTGTCTTCCCTCTCTCTCAAGTGTGTGGGTCTGAGAACAGAATGTAAAACCAATGAAGGGCCTGGAAAGACAAATGGAAAATGGTTATTGAACAAGCTGAAAACTGCCAAAACCATAAACTCTCGCTATGAAGCCGTCATCTGGCTGAAATGGAGAACCATAAAACGGAGACTAACGAATCTAAAACATCTGAAGTGTATTTGCAATGCTGGATGACTAGAGGATATGGAGAGAGAGAAGCTGGAGGACCACTGTAACCTTTCAGGCAGAGTCTGGACACCGGACAGGAGAAAGAGAAGCAACTGAATACTTCCAATCACCAATCCTATAGAGTTATAGGGAATTTAAATGTCACCATTTTGGAAGAAGGGGAGAAAGCATAGCAAAAAGGTTATAATTATTTAGTCCTGCCATGTACATGGAAGGACACAAATGTACTCTTGGAGAAGTGAAAGCACACTGTAGCCTAACAATATATGGGATGTTACAATCACTGAAATGCTTAGAAACATGCAGAATGGAACTATATTTTATTTCTGGGTGTATCCATGTGCAAAGGTATGGGAAGCAATCAAAACCCCCAAATATAAGAGAAAAGCTTCCACTTGTCCTCAGCACCATGTGTTCAGCAAGGAGTTCACAGGACGAGAGGTGGTACTGATGATACTTTCTGGATGAGGACCCTTGGCATTTGTTATATGGTTACTTATATATTTCTGGCTTTTTGGTGGTTAATTGGAGTTAAGAGTCTCATAAGTATTCTTGCCCAGGCTCGCTTCTAACTGTGATCCTCGGATCTCAGCCTCCTGAGTAGCTAGGATTATAGGCATGAACTACTGACACCTGGCTTAGCCTCCAATATATATGAAAAGAAAAAATTGTCAACCTAAGTTGCTTAGTAAATTACTACTAAGTAAAGGAATCAAAACAAAAATTCATCTTTCTAGTAATTGATTTTCTATTTAAGAATATCAGGCTTTAAATAGATGGAACCACTGGGTGTTATAAAATAGGTTCACTGTCTGGGCTGGGAAGGTGGCTCAGTGGTAGAGTGCTTGCCTTGCATGCATGAGGCCCTGGGTTCGATTCCTCAGCACCACATAAGCAAAAAGAAAAAAGCCAGAAGTGGCGCTGTGGCTCAAGTGATAGAGCGCTAGCCTTGAGCTGAAGAGCTGAGGGACAGCACCCAGGCCCAGAGTTCAGGCCCCACGACTGAACCCCTCCCCCCCCAAAAAATAGGTTCACTGTCTAAAAGTGGAGCTGTGGTTCAAGTGGTAGAGTACCAGTCTCAAGCAAAAAAGCCAAGTGAGAGCACAAGACCCTGAGTTCAAGTCCCAGTATCAGAACACACACACACACACAGTTTCTCCACAGGCACAAACATAACTAATGAAGAGAATTGAGGAGCCTGGCCAATAGCTATGTAGGTCTTGTGTTGGTGGTTTGGCTTCCAAATGTACCTATATGTAAGGATTTTGGCTTTGCATTTCTAGACATAGAGACTAGTCTTGCACAGTTTGACATAGACCCTTTTAGAAGCAGATTTACAGGAGTTGATTCAGAGCACAGAAACTTCTAGAAGTTCCTTCATATGTCTATTGCATGGACATGGAAGGTATAGATTCATTACAAATTTTAGTATTTTATGGCGTATCAGTTCAACTTACCCGCTGTTCCAAGGTGCTTGGATCAATAAAAGTCACCAGGTCGATGGAAAAGTACCCAGTCACTTTTCTCTTTCTGCAGGCCTGTCCAATTTGGAGGCACAAAGACTTGAGAACTTTGGGATCCACAGAGGTCTGAGGTATGGTGGTACCAGAGGAAATAAAGGGGCCTTCGGCATGAAACTGGTCCCCCGTTGACAGCATTGTGATTTCTCCACTGGGCTCTATCAGCATGTCCACAGTAAGGTTGGTGATGCTGTCTGCAGGTGGGAATGCTTCAATCATGCCTCCTGGTGGGAAAAACATGGAACAATCAAGCAAATCGCGCCAACTTAGAGTGGGAAGAAAAAGGCTAGGCTTTGGTGGACTCAGTTCCTGCACCTGCCATTATCTTGGGAGACTTTGGGGGCAAGCAGCTTCAAGCTCTGCACTTCTTTTTCTTCTGTAAAACGAACATCATAAAGCCTTCTTCATCAGATTGTATCTGCAGCATTTAGCCCAATGCTTGGCATGTAGGAAGGCTTAATGAGTGGTGGCTTGGATTCTTATTGTAATTATAGACTGTAAATACTATGTTTATACATACTCATGGCAGAAACCTACGGTTTCTGGTCAAGCCTCTCACAGGAATTAACTGTCAATAGTCAATTGCTTATATCTTGGTGAAATTAGTGCCCCTTCTGTCATTCTTGACAGGCTTGGGCTTTAAACAGAAATAATTAACTTTGATTACCATGCCAGCCACAAGATTCCTATATATAGCCAGTTCTATGTATGTATCTAAGCATGCGTGCATATATTATGTATTTATTTATGTTTTGTGCTAATACTGGGGCTTGAGCTCATGGCCTACAGCTCTTGCTTAGACTTCTCACTCAAGGCTGATGCTCTACCACTACTGGCATTTTTGCTGTTTAATTGGAGATTTAGACTATGATCCTCAGATCTCAGCCTCCTGAGTAGCTAGGATTGCTGGTGTGAGCCACCAGTGGCTGGCTAAAAAATATTTTCTAAAACAGGACCAGAGAAGCAGGAGACAGTGTTGTTTTGCTGATAGTCAGAGCTTTACAATTGATCATATTTTATCTTTTGCTCTGAATACCAATAATCAGAGGCAAGTCAGGTGCTTGACCACAACAATATTTGTATTGTTATTATAGAGGTGATATACAGAGGAGATACATTTACATGAGTCAGATAATGAGTACATTTCCTTTTGTATAGTGTCATCTGTTCCCTCATTCTCTCCCGTTCCCTTCCTCCCATTTCTACCCACAAGTTATATAGTTCACGTTCATCAATGTGCAGTGCGCCCCACTGCTGCACGTTTTTACCCTTTTTCCTTGGGTTCTATGCCCTCCCCCAACCTCCCACAGATATGCACACGAATATACTGTATATAAGGTGAAGAGCTTTGTTCCATATCTTTGGAGTTCACTTCAGGCACTTAGGCACTGCACCTTCGTGATTCTCTCCTAAGACTCTCCTCTTTTGTTCTCACTGTATGTGAACATCTAGGATCCTGTGAAATCTGTCATATCTCAGTGCATTTTAGATCTAACTTCCACATATCGGACAGAACATATGCCATTTGTCTCTCTGATTGTGGCTTACCTCTCTTAACATGATTTCTTCTAGTTCTATCCATTTTCCTACAAATGACATTATTTTGTTCTTTCTAATGGCTATGTAAATTTTCATTGTGTATTGGTACCACATTTTTTTGGATCCACTCATCTACTGTAGAGATCTGGGTTGTCTTCATATCTTGGCTACTGTGAATGGTGTGGCAATGAACATGGATAGTACAGGTGTCCTTATATCCTGGCTCATATTGTTCAGGGTAGATGCCTAGGAGTGGTCTGGCTGGGTTGTAGGGAAGATGCTTAGTTTTTTGAGGAATCTCCAGACTGCTTTCCAGAGTGGTTGTACTAGCTTACATTCCCACCAGCAGTGCTTCCTTTCCCCCTATATCCCCACCAGCATTTGTTGTTCAAATTCAAAATGTTGGCCAATCTAACTGGAAGCCTTGATTTGCATTTCCTTTATGGCCAGGGATGATGAGCATTGCCTCCTGTGTTTGCCATTCTTGCCTCTTCTTCTGAGAAGTCTCTTCTTAGCTCCCTTGCCCAGTTAGTAATTGGTGTATTAAGTTTGGAAGGGGTTAGTTTCTTGAGCTCCATGTATATTATTGGATATTAGGCCTTTGTCTGATGTATTGCTGGTAAAGATATTTTCCTAATTGGTTGGCTGTCTTTTTAGTTTGTGTCCTAATTGTGTCCTTAACTGTGCAGAAACTTTATTTGAATGTAGTCCCACTAGTTGGGTGTCTCTCCTATCTGTTGGGCCCCTGGGACTCTATTAGGAAGTTCCTGCCTATACCTATAGTTTTAATATCTCTCCTGCTCTCTCTTGCAGTAGTTTCAGAGCTTCGAGTCTGACAGTGAAGTCTTTGATCTACTTTGAACTGATGTTAGTGCATGGTGACAAGCAGGTATCCACTTTTAGTTTTCTACATATGGCTGCCCAGCTTTCCCAACACCAACTGTTGAAGAGGCTATGTTTTCTTCATTTGTCAAATATCATATGACTGTGTGCTGTTCTATTTCTTGGTCTTCTAATCTGTTCCATTGATCTTTGGTTCTATTTTTTGTTCCAATACCAAGATGTTTTTGTTATTATGATTCTGTGGTAGAGTTTGAAATCTGATATTCTGATATTTCCTGCATTGCGTTTTTGCCTAGAATTGTTTTGGCTATTTTAGGTCTTTTGTTGTTCCATTAGAATTTTTGGATTGTTTTCTCTATCTCAGTAAAGAACATCATTGGTATTTTGATGGAGATTGCACTGAATATGTATATCTTTTTTGGCAGTCTGGCTCTTTTCTGAATATTGATTCTACCCCTCTATGAACATGGAAGGTCTTTCCATTTCCTGGTGTCCTCTTTGTTTTCTGTCTCCAGATTTTTTAAAATAGTTTTCACTATAAAGATCTTTTACATCTTTGGTTAGATTAATTCCTAAGTTGTTTTTATTTGAGGCTATTTCAAATGAAGTTGTTTTCATGGGCTTTCCTTTCTGCTTGTACATAGTTGGCATACAGAAAGACTACTGATTTTTGTGGGTTAATTTTGTATCCTGCTACTTTGCTAGAGTGGAGGATCAGCTCTAGGAGTTTGGAGGCAGAGTTTTTTGGGTGCTTTAGGAATAATATCATGTCGTCTGCAAATAGGGATAGTTTAATTTCTTCTTTCCCTATGTGAATCCCTTTTATGTCCTTTTCCTGACTTATTGCAAAGAATTCTAGAACTATACTAAAGAGGAGTGGAGAGAATGGGCATCTTTGCCTTGTTCCTGATTTTAGGCAAAATGGTTTTAGATTTTCCCTATTCATTATGAAATTGGCTGTTGATCTGTCATATATAGACTGCATTTATTTACTTATTTATTTATCTACCTATCTATTTATTTACTTTTGTGTTGGTCATGGGGCTTGAACTCTGGGCCTGGGCGCTGTCCCTCAGCTCTTCAGCTCAAGGCAAGTGCTCTACTACTACTTGAGCTACAACACCACTTCTGGTTTTCTGATGGCTTATTGGAGATAAGAATGTCATGGACTTTCCTGCCTGGGCTCGCTTTTAACTGTGATCCTCAGATCTCAGCCTCCTGAGTAGCTAGGATTATAGACATGAGCCATTGGTGCCCAGCTGTCTTTATTAAGGAATTTTTTTTTCTATTCCAAAGCATTTAACATGAATGGAAGCTGTATTTTGTCAAAGGCCTTTTCTGCATCTATTGATATGTTCATGTGGTTCTTGTCCTTGTCTCTGTTGATGTGGTAAATTACATCGATTGATTTGCATATGTTAAACCAGCCTTGCATCTATGGGATGAAGCCTATTTGGTCATAATGTATGATTTTTAAAAAGTTGTTTCTGGATTCTGTTGGCTAATATTTTATTTTATTTCATTTATTTTTTGTGGGTCGTGGAGCTTGAACTCTGGGCCTGGGAGCTGTCCCTCAGCTCTTCAGCTCAAGCTGAATGCTCTACCACTTGAGCCACAGTGCCACTTCGGTTTTCTGGTGGTTAAAATCTGGAGATAAGAGTCTCATGGACTTTCCTGTCTGGGCTGGCTTTGAACTGCAATCCTCAGCTCTCAGCCTCCTGAGTAGCTATTTTATAGGCGTGAGTCTCCAGCGCCTGCTGTTGGCTCTTATTTTATTTATTTATTTTTAATTGTGAAAATACCGTACAGAGGGGTTACAATTACATGGGCAAGATAACGAGTACATTTCTTATCAAGCATTGTTTCCTCCTCATTGTTTCCCCTTCCCATCCCCTCCCATAGTGGCTATTATTTTATTGAGGAGCTTTGCATCTGTGTTCATCAGAGAAACTGGTCTGTAATTCTCTTTTTTTTTGTTGGATCATTACCTGGTTTTGGGATGATCCATATATATATATATTATATATATATATATAAATATATATGTTTATATATATTTATATATATATTATATAATATATTATATATAATAAATATATATATAATATGTAATTATATATTAAGTATATAATTATATATATATATATGGTTTGCAATTTCTCCCTCTGTTTCTTTAATGGAAAAGCTTGAGTATTATTGGCATTAGTTCATCTTCAAAAGTCTTATAGAATGCAGCAGTGAATCCATCCAGACCTGGGTTTTTCTTGTTGGAAGACTTCCTCTATCTTGTTGCATGTTATTGGTTCATGTAGCTGGTTTGTTTCTTCTTGGTTCAGTTTAGGCAATTTGTGCATTTCTAAAAATTCATCATTTCTGCAAGGTTTTCCTTCTTCTGTGAGTACAGATTCTGAAAGTAGTCCTTTATAATCGTTTGGAATTCTTGGATGCTTGTAATGCTTCCTGTGGCCTCTCTGATCTTATTGATTTGAATCTTCTCTCTTCTTTTTTTCATTAATCTTGCAAGTGGTCTGTCAATTTAGTTTTTTTTTCAAAAAAAACAGCTTTTTGTTTCACTTATTTATGTATAGTTATTTTTAAGTTTGTATTTTGTTGATTTCTGCCCTAATCTTTGCTATCACTCTCCATCTGGTAGTCTTAGATTTGATTTTTTTTCCTGTTTTTCTAATTGCATCATGAGTTATTTGCTTGAGCTGTTTCTGTTTTCTTTATGTGTGTACTCTGGGCTATGAACTTTCCCCTCAGCACTGCTTTTGCTATATCCCAGAGGTTCTGTTGTGATGTTTTCATTATCATTGAATTGTAAGAACTTTCTAATTTCTTC